CCGGCTTGCCCTTGGCCGGTGGCAGGTCCATCTTGGAGCCGGCTGGCATTGGCTCTGTCAGACATAGGGGAAGCTTCTGGCATATTCTTCTCTGCCTGCGGCTACATAACCAAAGCGGTCAGCTGTGCCCTTCCCTTAAAATTACCAAATAAGCCAAGTTTGATTACCAACACATCTTCCTGGCTAATGGTTCACAGAAGCACAGATTTGACAGAATGTTCTTCAGTGGCTGCTGCAGAAAACCACTGCTGCCACCACTGCCTGCTTAGTCAGTCCCTCTTTCCACTGTTCAGCTGAGGCAAGTTTTTGTACTGGCAAACTATTTGGTTTGGTGAGTAACCAATGGCAATATCATTTTTGCACTGGCAAACACAGCTGCTCACAGGTCGTATGCACAATCACAAGGCACGGAGAGGGAGAAAAACACAGAAGGAACAGTCTTGGATATAAAAGAGTCTCCTTCCTACACAAATTTTGTTTTTATGACCAGATTACCTTTAGGTGAAAGTAAAGATTCTCCTTCAAGTTTAGTTGCTTCCAAGTATGTCTGCAACGGCTTGTAATTCTCAGAAGAAATTCTAATTACACTTGAAATGTTAATCCCAAGCTCAGACATCACAGACAACAGCTGAGGGTTGTGGAAATCCAAAATTATAAAGTAATGATGGGCACCATCATCTGGTTCATCATCTGTTAAAAACACAACAAAACCTGATTAGAATAAGGACATTCAACAGCTAAATCAAATTCATTTTTTTCTTGACTATATAGGGATACTGCAAATTAAGGTCAGAGAAACAGTTCTTTTATAACCTCATTGGGATAATTACATGCAAGTTTCAAAATACTATGTGCATTAGACTGAAGTCTTCTGCAGCAAACCACCTAGAACTCAGTAGGAAGAACACAAGTCAGAAGTAATAATTGCTTGGAGAAGCACCAGGAGAAAAGCTGGAGCAGCTGATTATAACCAGAATGCTAGCTGTAGCAGCATTTCTTCTAAGGAGGAGTTTAGTGTCAAGACATACTCACATGCTCTAATGGTAGTTTAAGCTATTCTGTTTTATCCTGCATAAAGGTGGCCAGTGAGCACACACAGAGTAAGTTACTGTGTCTTAGATGAGATATTACATTAGCTGGAATTGTAATTCTGAAGGCTTAGCTGTCAGTATGAGCTGACTCACTGCTGACTGCTCCCTGCCCGACAGGTTCATGTTTACTAGATGGAATCCCTGTCAAAATCCTCATCAGCTGGTAATACCAGCTCACACTAGTCCTTTCAGTTGGCAATGGGCATATCCAAATTAATCCTAAAGCCCAGATGAGAAGTTTCATTGAGTGCCTGCCCTGTTTGGTCTTATTAGTTCTGTAGAAATATGTATGCATAGCAACATTTCAGAACCAAAGCAAAAGGTTAAGCATTATGTAAGTAAAAACAAACCCTCTAGAAGCCTGACTCTGGTCTAAGTTAATTGCAAAGATTCCCTTTATGGCCCATTGAGAAATGTAGGTATTCAGACAGGTATCAGGTGATTTAATTCATCCAGCATGGTTACCTATCCTCAGACAACAGAATATGCCTGCTGAAGCTCCTGTATATCTCCATCGGCTATGAAACACATGTTAGTGCAGACTATCCTGCACTAAAAACAAACCACAGTTTTATATTCTATTGAGCATTAAGATTCCATCTTATGCCTTCTAACACAATGCACTTTAAAGTCCTTTAGCCACTCCTCAGTTCACAGGACTCATCCATCCAAGGGAGAAGAGAAGGGCAGAAGGTAGTCTGGAACTGACATCTGCCTGTGCTCAGGTCTACAGCCATAGCTGTGTAAATGCTGCTACCACCTGGAGCAGCAGGCTGGCAACATGGTTGTCTACTCTTCTTGTAACATTAGGTAAACACAAATGAACTTAAGAATTTGGAGAAACACTGACTGAGGAAGCAGCCACCACAGTCCAGTACACATATCGCATACAGCCAAATCAAAACCAGAAGAAAACTAATCCGTTATGGCACTGCTAGTACTGAAACTGAACTACATATTTTGATGCCTCAGTTACTGCAGGAAGAAAACGCATGAGCACATACAATTACTGAGCATTAATGATTTCTAACAAAAAAGACAGATGTCTGCATAGTGACTTACAGAGATTCAAAAATTCCAATGCATACAAGCTGAAGACTGCCTGCCATTCAACAGTTATAATTATGATTATGCTGATAATCAGGACAAGTAGATAATAATCAGCCAGTTCTAATAATCAGTGATTAGTTCATACTCAAATGATGAAAGATGCAATTAATCTCAAGATTACTCAAAAGCAGAAATATTCTATTTCAGAAAGGCGATAATGTACTAGGGATGAATGATAAAATGACTGTTAGGTACCAGAAAAAGATCGTCTTTGAGTTCAAGACATGATCATGTATAAGTAATAGCTCAGACTACTCTCGAGTAAAAATTGTGGCACTTTCTCTTTTGGGATTTTCGCTTGATACAGCTATATTAAACCAAATATAAACAGGGAAGGTTTAGATTGGATATTAGGAAAAATGACTTCACTAAAAGGGTTATCAAGCACTGGAACCGGCTGCCCAGCGAAGTGGTTGAGTCACCATCCCTGGAGGTATTTAAAAGATGTGTAGATGTGAGACATAAGGACATGGTTTAGTGGTGAACTTGGCAGTGTTAGATTTATGGTTTGACTCTACAGTCTTAAAGATCTTTTCCAGTCTAAATGATTCTATGATTCTATTAGAGTGGCCAAGAGTGCTGAAAAAAATGTTCACTGTATCAACTTGAAGGATCATCCAAGGCTTTTTGAGTCTTCTGCTCAGACTCTTGTAAAATATGGAATATTCACAAAGATTTTTGAAGTACTACATTCTTGGTAGAAAAGTTTCATAGATCTACATGTTCTTGACACTGAGAAATGGAGCTGGGACCACTTTGTCCCAAGACACAAAACAAAGCTTTAGCATGAGGTCCTTGAGAATCCTAATTGCCATGTTCTCAAGGGAAGACAGAAAATCTTGACACAGTTGTTTTGCCACACTTAAGGTTCATTTAGAATGGTCTTCAGAAGTTTTGGTAATACTTTAGTTAATTTTCTCTTAGTATGGACTTGGTGGAACTGTCAGAAAGAATGAAGAAACAATTACCTCTCCAGCAAACAACAGTTCTGCTTTTCCTGTAGCCTAGAGTGAAGGGTTCGAGGGGTGCTGTCCTTCTTAGGGCTATAGGCACCTACTCACTGTCTTCCTCAGCACGACTAAAGGAAGTAGCAAGGCCGGATTACCTTTTCCATCATTAGGTAGTTCCTTATTGTCTTTAGACTGGAAATCAATCCTCTGAATAAATTCTTTTTTGTATGAGTCAGAATCAATTTGTTTATTATTAAGCCCAGCTGTGTGGATGCACAATGAATGTGGTGAATTGTTCAGAATGGCTTCAGCTCAGCACAGTCATGACTGTGAAACTAAATGTAGCACAAGTGACCAAGCACAAAATACCTCCCTAACTTCTCCTCTGAGGCAATCTGCAACTAGTGCTATATTGTAAATATCCTTGGGACTCCTGAGACAAATCTCAGTCAATAAAAATCATAGTTTAACAGCAGTGCTAGCAGTTCATAATATAAAGATACTAAGCATACTAAAAAAGGGTACTTTTCACGGCTGTTAGTTTTTGGAGGCAATTTTTATATTCCTTACTTTGTCTTCTCATTAACTGTGACTAAAAGGCAGCAAAGTATGGATATCTCATACAGGTACCTGATGTTTTCTACCCATCCCTCAAGGCAGTAGGGAGCAAAACCAATGGAGATGGTAAAGTTGTTTCTTTGGGGCCTAGTTGAAGCACGTTAATACCACCCAAAGCCACTCCGTACTTTACATTCTGTACCTATTTGTAGTAAGATGACATGAGTCCTCTACATGACTTCAGCTTGGATTCTTAAAGGCATGAATGTTTCTTTGAACACTTCTCCTTTCCAGCCCTGGAAAACTTTAAAATTATCCCAAGAATGATGTTATAGCCAAGACTTATCTGAAAAATGAGGAGCTATGCACAGATAGCTATGTTCTATTCTTGTGTAGTCAGCGTCACTAAGATTCAGACTTGCTCTGAACACCTGGAATGATGCTTTTTAGACACCTGAAGAGTGCCGTTGATCTCAAATGAGATGCAGACAAAGGTCTGATAAAAGAGTGAGGAAAGCCTGCAGCAGTTCAACTAGGAAATAGCAGGTACACATAAAGCATCCAAAAATCAGCAAGTGCTTCTCCAGCAGGAGAGATCCTGTTTATGTTGACGTAACTCAAATATATTATGTTCCAAGCTAAATATAACTGTGATCTAATGAGAAGAGCTAAGTGTATTCTCCAGTATTTTTTGTTCCAGTGAAATTTGTAACCATGGGTGCTGTACATGAAGAATAAAGATATTCTCAGCGCTAGCTAGCATATTATTCTTTACCTCATATAGCTCATTTCTGGAGTAGATTTCTTCAGGTCTCAGTCCTATCCACATGTTTTTACAGCAAATGCAATCTTACTGCCCTTTGTGCAGGATCTAGCTTCATCCCCAAATAATGGTAGACAGCTCTGTTCTACTTTATAATACAAGGAGAAAGCCACCTTCAGATACTGAAACAAATGCATTTAGTTATTCTGAAATCTTTCTGTAAGAAAGGTTTTCTGTAAGATTTGTTTAGCAACTATCTTTTAGTCTTACACATGCTAAAACATATTGATGTTAACATGTGACATATACCTCATCTGTATTTTATTTCTTGGACTAAACAATCTATCCTAATACTGAGCAGAACACAGCACGTTCTTCAAACACAAAGTCACAATGCTTTATAATATTGCCGAAACAGATCTTGACTTTTCAACATGGAACAAAACAAAGTACTTGGTTAGAAACTAGGCTGCAAGATTTAAACCAAGTTTGTCAGGAATATATCTGCATTTCCTACATACCAATGTATTTGTGTTCCTCTTCCACTTCTCCCCGTCGCTTCAGTTGGGTGTCCTTTTTAACAGTGACTGGTGCTAGAAGGCCTACTTCTGTCTTTTTTCCTTTCCTTTCTTTCTCAGCTGTCTTGGCACTATGGAGGTTCTCCTTCTTGCCAGGAGGTCTAGCTTTCTCTTTCCCTTCATTTTTTTCCTTTTTTTGCTCTTCTTCTGCCTGGCAAGATGAATAAACTAAGTTCTCATTGTAGCCTTTGTGCAGAACAAAGTGCACATTGCTGCAAAATTTCAGTGGTTCAGTCTTCTTATTTGAAAACTCTTCCCTTTCAGCCCCTATAATGTTGATGTGGTGAAGCTGTCTTGAACACTCTGCTTTATCTTTCTCAAACACATCATTCAGTTTATTATATTCTTACTAAAGTATAGTGCTAAGACCTCACATTAAAAAGGAACTGTGAGAGGTAGGTAGACACTATACCTAAGAAACTAATGAAACGCATACTGGTAGAAAGACGAATAAAGAATCACTGTACTTTAGTTACTGCCACTACAGCATTTGCATCAGTTAGAAACGTTCTCTGGACTGAAGGGAAATAAGACAAAAATTCCATTTCTGTTAAGTCTTCGGCATCTCTGTTAACACTCTTGAGTATGGTGTAAAATGGTGCCAGCGCTATTTTTCTTTGATGTAAATATCTGTCTACTATAAACTAGAACCAAGAGTCTTGTGCTCATTTCACACAGGATATTACTCAGCCATTCTCATTATTTTCAAACAAAAACACCTACACTAAGTTCTGCTCAGGAATTTAAGAGTAAAGAATGAAAAAAGATTTTGTAAGTATCCCAAAGCCTCACACTATAAATCTAGAAAGCTCAGAGCCAGTCTAAAATTAAAATAATCCAAAATATATTAAGGTAAAGTGAGGTGCTGTAATAGCAAGAAACCCTCCACCTTCTTTCTACTCAGCAGCAGTACTACACACTAACTATGCAACGATGACATTTCAGGATTGTAAAGCTAAATTTAATCCAATAAAATGATATGAACTTCACTTACCGTTACCATCCTGCTGGTGTCACTTTAAAGGCTATTAAAGCAACGAGAAAAGCTCTCCATGCAAATGAAATAATACAGCAGTTGACTCTACACAATCGGCTCCCCTAGATCCAGCTGGAAAAGCAGACTTTCCAGCTGTAGAAGTTGTGTTTAGTTCAAATTCAAAAGAAAAGCAGAAAATCTTTTCCTGCTTTTCCTGTCTTCACGCATTCCCTTTCTGTAAAATTTAGAAATGCCTTCAACAGATCCTTCAAACTATTTGTGCTGTGAAATGGGGGATTTGGATGCTTTGATTATTTTCTTTCAAATTTATTCCACTTTGGACATTTCAAACAGAAGATTTTGCTCGTACTACTTTGAATTCTAAGCTGATGAACACATCAAAGCCAATGACAAAATCATCAGCCTACAAAGTTCTCAATCAGCTCTATCTATTGCATCTGCATCATTTTATGTAATTAAGTCTCAAATAAGCAGAGGCATTTCTGAACTTGCCAAGATTCCAACAAAGAGCACTAGTTGACCTTAATACCTCAGGAAGCAAAAGCCTGTCCTTTCTAGGACTCCTTCCTTTTCCTCTCAATGTCGTATTTCTCCTTCCCTACAAGGTGCAGCTTCTTGTGGAGTTTCTAACCTTTTATCAGCTTTACATTCTGTAATTTTGTTTTTTTAAGCTTGATATTACAATATCTTACTACTTCAAACAGTCTTCTAATTCAGAGACCTTTCTTCTCTTCTGCATATTAGTTTAAATGCATACATCTGTCAATTTATAGCAAGCTTTTGCTCCTAATGAAATACAGAAATATCATAGTGGTTTATTTTTAGTTATTCACTTGCTGCTTTTCTTCTGCCAATCCATTCTATTAACTGGTGTCTATTCTAAAAAACAATGCGTAGTTATGTTGGCTTTCTGAGAACTGATCTGCTAGTAAAATCTTTGTTTCACCACCCGAGGTGTTGGCAATGGAACTTGAACTGTACAAGCTAGCTGGAAAGCATTAAAAATTTTATGGCAGAGAGTTTAAAGCTAGAATTCTAAATTAAAAGCCAGTTTCTGCCCATTCTGGACTGCAGAGCATCCTCATAATCAAGAGCTCTCCCAGTTCTTGACCCTTTCATTGTCCTTTAACTGCTGTTCTCGTGTTTGCCTGTCATACTTTGATCTAATCCAGAGGAGGTGACAACTTTGTCCAGATTGCTTGGCTAAAACCTGGAAAAAATTGTAAATTCCAGACATTCTTCAACCTTCAATATCGACTATCCTCAGCTTCTTCAGGGAAATAAAATAATAGTTACAAGAGTAATCTTGCCAAATCAAAGCTAAAGGCTCCATTTTAATACTGAAGTGCCTAATCTTTAAACTTCAAATTTTTGTTTCACAGTTTACTTATCAACACTGACTGATACCTAACAGAAAAGCCATTTTTTCTCCATTAACTATAAAAAATGTGCTCTATAGCTTCAGCCTCTCAATTTCTCTTCAGATTCAAAATGCTTTTTTTTTTTTTTCCTCAGATTTTTCATGTATTTCTGTGGCTTACATTATCATTTGCTGATTAGTTTTGGAATTGACTTCTATGGGAACAGGACACAAATTTAATTTATCACCCAGCATTTAATGTTCTTGTGCTTGTGCACTATACTTCATCCACCAAGTATTCCCACAAACAGAATTATTGATAAAGAAATGCACAGACTTTTCAACTACACAAAATCCATGAAACAGTTTTCTTATTGCATCTTTTAGATGCATAGAATGCTTAGGTCTCCATGTCATCACATTTTACATAATAGTTTTTGATCAATTAACAGGGTAAACTATTGCAAAATTATATGACTTTCCAGTAATGGTCTTCAGCTGCACGAATGTTTGCTGAAAAGGACTATAGCAAAGACCAACTGTTCAGTAACTTGCTGAAACGTACCACTGACAATGCTTTTTTTTTTTAAATTACAGATGTTGGAAAGCAATTAGAGGTCTGAACAGATTCTGATTCTGTGCAAGTTGGTGAAATTCCTCCTAGAACACATACGCAATCTGACTGAGGCAGTCTTGGAGTTAGTAGTGATGATTTTGGAGAATATGTGCAAGCGAGATTTGGGAACACTGGAAAACGTGGTACCCAGTTCTGAGAAGCAGACTTCAAGATATGAACTATTTGGACAGAGTTCAGAGGAGAGGAACCAGTATAATCAAAAACTAGACACATATTTGGGTTTGTTTATTTAAATATGTAATAGATATCTGCAGAATGGAGGATAAGAACTGTTGTCCCCATACAGAGTGAGAAGCAAAGCAGTAACGGTTTATATTAGAGCAGCGTTGATAAGGTTAGAAACCTTTTCCAAATGGCTACGTTGCAGAGATAGTTTAGCTGTAATGCTGGTTGATGTAGAAAAGCAAAAGCACAGCAGTGGAAGGTTTATGAAGAGGTACAACAAACATCTGCCAGGAATCATTTATGTAAATTTTATCCTGCCTTAGTGCTGGAGGACGGAATAGATAACTTCTCCAAATGTCCTCTATATAGGTGATCCATGATAATAAATTCTTCATAGTGCTCCTCTGCATCTATCCTTGATACCTCTCAAGTAATAACTCTCCCACTTATACTTCAACAGAGATATATACAGCTGAAGACAGTTTTTAGCTCTGTTTTCTATTGGTCTTAACACTCAGCTAAGACATTACTACTTCTCACTCTAGCAAAGAGTTCTTGCACAATATTTTTTCTTTTCTTTTTTTTTTCCCTGTCTCGCCTGCATTTAAGTAATTCAAAGCTTCTTCCCCAAAATCTAATTAACTTAAAAAGATAAATTTCTATTCACATTTCTCTTCATTTACACATCTAGGAAGTTAAGCATGAGGAGAAAGCTGAATTTCTGGAAACAGCACTAGAATAGAAGCATCTTCATAAAATTAATTAATCATCCTTCCTAAGACATACTATAATACCTTCTTTTCAGCTTCTCTTCTCTGAAGGTCCTTCTGTTTGAGACAAAGCAGTTGAAATTTCAACAGCTTTCCAGTTAGTGCTACAGGGATTTCTTCACCACTATCCAGAATGGCTTTGGCTACTTCTATCACCTGCAGAGAAAAAAATTAAAACCAAAATAACTATTACTTGTATAGTTTTAATATTGCATTTAACATGTATTTTGCATGCTGAAACAAGGAAGTACTATCTCACATTGTACAATGTATGGGTCAAAATGGTCACTTTCAGGAAAACAACATATCGGTAAGATGCGTAACTTTTCTTTGGTTCCTAAGACCTCAAAGAAAGTTCTATCTGTTATAGTGTGAGATAAAACTAGAATGGAGAAAACTTCTTTCATTTATGTAACAGTCAACAGACACACAGTTCTCACAGTAAACTGTTATTTTTTTAGGTTTTAAACAAAGACACATCATTAAGCAACTACTTATTATAAAGTAATAAATTAAAAAGCATTTAGCAGACAGCAAATCAAGGGGAATAGTTTGGAGTACTGTTTACAAAGTGACTTGTGTCTGAGGCACTAGCCCTGAATGAAAGATAAAAACTCCTCGCAGGGAATTTGAGAGGGTCTGTCTTGGTGAAAATACACCCCCTCCCTGTGTAATTCTGATTCTGTTGGTATGCAGCCTAATTGGGGTGAAATAAGGCTATTGAGTTTTCTTAGGGTGATGACAGCAGCGGGAACATACAGCTGCATTGTCCAGATGTGTGGCATTGACAGGCTGTTTTATGACTATGTTTTTTACAGCTTGTTTCCACTAAATTTCATACAACTCACTAACATCTGGGCCGTTTTCCTTGGAGCCTCATAACCACTTTATTTACTGTGAAAAAAATAAAATAACATAAAAATACCATAAAAAGTTGTTATATGTTTCTTTTCACTTGTGTTGTCTCTGTAATAAAGTTCACCTATGTAGGAAGCGCTGTTGAGGAATAATATAACCATAATATTTTCCTACTTTTGTTTTTAAGCAACCATCAGCTTTATTTATGACCATGCACCGAATTAGGTGTTACTCAAGTGTTGTGACACGTTTCTTTTTTCCCCTCTTGGAGCAATTACAGTTGGGCACATATGGTGTCAATTTTGCTTGCTAAGATTCAGACAATGAAGGTGTACACTGCATCTCACTGAACTGTGTCTTGTCTAATGCAAACATCACCATTAGCTTTGAGCTTTCAGAGCTTCTTGCCCAGCTCAGAAATTTTCACTTCTCATGTAAAACCTAGGTAAGCAAACGTAAACACTAAACAAGCTTCTCTGAATAAAACAAAGCCAAAATGGAACCCAGACTATTCTATGCTGCATTATTGTTTCATACAAATGAAAGCAATGTACAGAAAAAGAAACCTTTTAAAATTCAGATTTTTCTGAATCAGGTAACAGGGAGACAAAATAACCAAAATATTTGCATTTATAACCCTCCCAAAACAATACTTCCCCTCCAACACTAATAAATCTGATGATCTCCTTAACATACACACAGGAAAAAATATTGTGGTTAAGATCAGTTCTACTTTACTTCTTTTGTATTCAGAGTCAGACTACTTACTGGTCACTACCTCAATAAACCAACCACAGAAGGCTTCTGGAAAGACTTCCATTGACTTCAGAGTCACGGCAGAAAGGATATGTTAAGTAGAGACTTAAAAACTCCTACAGACTGTAGGCACACTAGAAACTGCTAGCTATTACAACAAAAAATAGTCACCCAGAGCTAGCAACACAAATCTGTGCTCTGAAAGAGAGAGACTTTGGTAGAAATACCGCAGTAATTTCTCTTAGAGAGAAAAAAATCCACAGTTTTTTTTGCAGAAGTGGTGTTAACAGCCTATGGAAAGAGTATTTCCCAACCGCCTAATCTAGAGGAGTTGCACATTTCTTGAAACACAATAGAGGGGAAATGGAGGGATTCTGGAAGGATTCCTGAAAAGTGTATATATAGCAACCCAGCTCAATGGCAGTTGCTGATTTATTGTTCATGGAAGAAGGATGGAATGCTTAGACTCTTTTACAACCCATTCTTCCCGAGACGTTCAAAGCATTTTACCAGTCAAAAGCAATGCATCATGATTATTCCTATTTTGTAGATAGAGAACGCAGAAATGAAGAGACTTGTCCAAGGTCTATAGTGAGCCGGACAACTCTTGAGTGGGTGGGAAGGACAAATTTTCTTACATGAGGTGACAGAGAAGTATAAAACAAACTATTTAACAGGAGTACACTCCATGACTGTGGAGAGAGGTCAGACATATAAGACAAAGATAAACTGAGCACACTACATCTGGCAATACTAAGCAAATAGTTTTTCATACAGCAATGTAAAATCTGCTTTATGCATAAACAAATAAAACCCAATCCTTCATCACTGCTAGTTTAAAGACAGAACATAGATCAACCCATGCACAGTAGATCGAAATTAAATTTATTACCCTTATGCATGTTTACTTCATCTGTGGTCCTGTGAACTATGCAGGCACCTGGCATAAACAGTTTAGAACCTACAGAGCCTCAATAAAAAGAAAAAAGCTAAAGACTTGGTAGAAGTACAGAAGGAATATTTTGGGATGTGATGAAGTAGATTCATTTCAGATTGGCTATACTACACCCCGCCAGTGACAACCTTTTTCTTAAGTGGGAAACCATGGAAACTTGGATGGACAAACTCAGTTAGGTAGGGCCTCTTTTCCTTTAAAGGAAGAGGAAACCTAGCATTCCTCACACAGCAGGGGTCACATTTGTGAAGTGCAGAAAGGCTTCAGTGATGCAGTATTTGATCTCATATGGTGGCAGTATGGTCCATGCAGAGATTTAGCTACCTGGTGCAAAGGGCATGTATTTCAAGCCCTTCAAACACTGCATGAGTGCTTGTAAGTGACACTATACTACTGGCAGATACCAGCACCACTGAGATAGGAGACGGGTCTTAACAGTTAGGGAAACATTTAAATCCAGAGTCTTTATGGGCTCTTTCTTTGAAATGCCTGCTTTTCAATATACAGAACCATTGTAGCTGCTAAATTGTAATGAGAAAAGCTTTGAAAGTGATAAATTGCACTATCAACTTTCACAGCTTTATCACTACTTGGAAGCAGTAGCACCACCTGCTATGAACAGTGGTCAGCCCATTTCATAACATAGTTCTCCCATATCCAGGGTAAGGTTTCTAAAGCCCTGTCCTCCCTCTTGTTCTTGAAACTGTAAGAAATCCAGGCCATCACATATACCTCCGACTCACATAACACTTCCTAAAAGAAACGTAATGGTTTCTAGAACTCCTCAGTAATTCAAATCCCTTAGTAGCTGACACAGTCCAAGTCAATATGAAGCAAGAGATCCATCAGTCAAGAGGCTATACGGATTACATGTACCAACCAAGTTATTATTTACTGTTCAAATGTATTTTGCTGAGCAAGCCAGTAAATATGGGGGGCAGGGGCAATCTTCACATTAAAATCTGCCGTCAGTATTGTGAATCCCTCACAAGCAGCTTTCAAGACAGACTAGGGAACAAAAGCTGTGTGTATCGTACTGATAAATCTCATTTGTCCAAAACAGACTTCTTTACATATACTATTAACTATTTCTGAACCTGCTAAAATAAGGACACTTTCACTATTGAGCAATACTGAGAATATACGTATGCTGTTCATGTACCAAATATCTGCCTTTCTCTTGCGAGAACATTTCTCAAAGGAGCAGCAATGGCTGCTTGCTCCCTAGAAAAATATGTTGTCAGTCATATGAGTGAGTCTGTTTTTTGCCGAATCACAACACAGCTTGATCTGGTTAGCAAAAACCCAGTTAGAAATATCCATTGTAAGCAGGTCTGTTCTTTAAACCTCTCTACAGAAAATGTGCAACCTGAGGGCATACCTTAACTGTTTAATCTCATCAATGCAGAATGAGAACTTTTAAAGACAGGTATACAGTTTATGTCTTAGTGTTACCAGTACTTAAGTAAGGTTTTAAGGGAAACAGACAAACAACCTAATTTAAGTGAAACAAAGAAATTACATTACATAAAAATTAGTATGACTTTTCACCCTGGCTTTATTAAAGAGGCCATACAAGAGCTCTCACCATCTCTGACATGTACCTCCTATGCTTCCTGATCACCTAACTGTTACCAAAACAAACTGCTTTAAGGGAAGACAAAATACAATACAAATATCCAGTGATTCCAAGTATCAGTCATTAGCATTGCTATCTCAGGAAGGAGGAGCTTTATGCATAGGGATGGTGTTCATGTGTGACCCTTCAGATACCTGTTTCCTTTTAACACTAACTGGGGGGAGACAGTTGAAATAGCATTTCAGTGATTTCTGAAGAACACCTACAGAACCCAACCCTTTTTAAAAAGAGAGGACAGGCCAGTTTGCTGTGATCTGTGCTCAGAAGAAGAGGTATATTACTATGATCAAATCTTGAAATGTTTACATTTATTGGTATGAATCTGCAAGTCTTTCCATTGTGGAGTAGAATATTTTATGCTCCCGAGTAGTAAATTGTCTCCAGAAATTCCAGCCAACTGGATCCACACAACGAACATCACAAAGCTAAAGGATTTAGTCACACTTCTCTAACACTGCATCTGGCTACAAAGAGAACCCACTCAGAGGTGGAACAAAAAGATTTAAGGAGCAAAGCTGTCTCATCAACCCTAGCGCTGGCAGAACCCATCTAGCTACATCTGGCCACAGTTTCCTAAGCCGCGTCAGAACTCACAGGCCAGGAAGTCCCAATAGCCTCGTAGACTTGGCACCACAAAACTCCTAGGCACAATTTTTCCACCTTGGTCCAGCTTTGCAAAAGGGCTTTGGGCTTTTTTATTTGGTGACAAAGAATTCTGAGATTAGTTGCTCTACTTGAGAAAAATGTCTTATTGTCCTTAATTAACCAATTATAGTCGCCTGAAATTTTTGAAGGCAACAAAACAGAGAACAGCATTTCCTTTGGCTGCTCTGGAGGGTTCCTCTAACAATTTAAGGATGACATTCTTACAGACATACTTGCTGTTTACTCTAGCTACACAGAGATTTCAAAAAAACCTGCACAGAAAAAGTAGGAAATCTCATAGCA